ATAAAACTTGAGATAAAGAGATTAAAGTGTCACCTCTGTGATATATGTCTAATAAATAGGAAAGGTAGTGAACCATGACAGAATAAAACTAGGAATCCATAACCAAATACCAGCTTTAAAATACAAAAGCCTAAAAATTAACAAAACAAAGTACTAAGCATCTGAATACATATACAAACTCATAAAAAAATCTATGAAATATGCTGCAAAAATTGTGTGACTTTTTAATCTGGTACTTTAAAGGAGAAATGCACCTTGAACAAACTGTTTGTTTTGAAAATAAAGAAATAAAGCATGGATATAGCGCTCATCAAAAAACATAGAAAAGCAAAGCTTTAGACTCAAGGCAGCAATTAGAATAATGGAAAAGCACAGCATCAAAAAGATGAGAGAATAAAATTGCAAAGTACAAAAGCATACAAGAAGAATAAAATGAGAAAGAAAACAGTAGACAATGTTTTCAAAGACTGACTAAATTAACTTTGGGTAACATTTTTAATAAACCCTGAAGCAGGTGCAAATAAGGAAGAGGGTAGGAGAAGAGCTAAATGTAAATGTACATTTCATAAAATGTTATAACTAACTTTCTGAAAAACTAGAAAGTGTCAAAACTGCATACAATAGAATAAATAACCTTAAAAATAGTTATTAACATGGGCACTGGCATAGCATACATCACAAAAACATAAATCCCATTTTATCTTGTATAATATGTGGCTTAAGCAATATTTCAGATATGCAATTGAATTTGGATTTATTGATGAAGGTAATTTAAAATAAGGGCATTGAAAATATGAAGCAGATTATCCAGTTTCAGAGTATCAAATCAATATAACTTTAAAAAGTGAAATATCTAGCATTATCAGTACACAAATACACTTGATATAATTTTGAGAATAAAATTTAGTTGTTTTCATGACACAATGCATTTGACACTGTCCAACAGTATCATGTAGAATACTACTGTTATTCCTTCTCTGCAAAACCATGACATCATCCTCTCCTGTCTCTTTATGTCTTTCCTCACCTCTACCTAATCTAGACTCTACTCAGCATTTGTCCTTCTAAAGTTGACCTAGGTACTACATCTCTCCTACTTAAAAGCCTTTACTGCCTTCCTGTCTTGTATTTAGCATGAGCCAAGGTCTTCCCAAAGCTCATAAGATGCAGCACTGTCATTCTCTCCATGATGACAAGTCATTAAATTCTTTTCCTTTGTACACCATCCCTCCTGTCAGTCACTGCTTCAACCACATAGTCTCCCTGCTCAGACAACACATACTTATATGACTTTGGATCTTGGGACAATTGGTTCTTTTCCTTTAAACCATTCCTGTGGTTATTTGATTCATTCATTATTTCATTTGGTATAATTACTTCTTTAAATTTTACAACATCAGGATCTCTCCAATCAATGTAGTAGAGAAATATGGATTTTCACATGCATTTTTATTATTGGATTTGTCTCATAAAGCCTTGGTAGTATCTGTATCTCCATAAGGAGAATATTATTATTTTTCTGCCCACTGATGCATGACAGTGTTAATAGGGGATGCAGTTTTTTTTCATTCATTTATTTAGCTCATAAATAAAGTCATGCACAATTATGATACACAATACAGTATGTTCACAATGGCATGGCTAAATTAAACCAATTAACATGTTATATCACACATATTCATCATTTTTGTTTTGAGAACACTTAAAGTATACTATCTCACAACTCTTAAAATAGAGCATATTGTTATCAACCATATTAGACTTCAGTTCACAACTCTTAAAATAGAGCATATTGTTATCAACCATATTTATCATGCTCCCAGTAGACCTCAAGACTTCAGAGAGTCCATGACTCTTGTCCAACTGCAGTTTTATATCCTTAAACCAATCGTTTCCCCATTGTTAAAAGACCCACATTGAAGCCTAATAGCCACAATTCTGCTCTCTGTTCCCATAAGTTCATCATTTCTAGGTTACACATAAAATTGAGATTGTGTAACATTTGTCTTCCAGTGGGGGATGTAGTTTTTGCTGAGGCTGTGGGCAATGAAACACTAACCACAAAACTCAGCAAACACATATGGAGTTTGTTGGGAATGGGAATGAATGGAGGAGTAGATGTTGGCCAACTGGGAACAGAGATGGAAGGAGGAAGGGACGAGAAAAGGGGAAAGAGACACACAGAGAGAGTACAGGAGAGAAGGGGGAGACAGGAAAAGTCTGGTCTGCCCCAGGGGAGCAGCAGGCAAGACAGGGGAAAGAGAGGATCAGGAAAGAGAAGATAGCAGAAAGAGATGAGCAGGCAAAAAGACCACTTTGTGGTTGGGGTCTTTCTCTTAATGGGGTCCTTTGCAACTGTGTGCAAAATCCATAGAGCTCAGGGCTGACCAGGGTACTGCCTGAGTGCACTCTGCCAAGTGACAGCGGCAGGGCAATATAATACCTGAATCCTTATAGGGGAAATAATAAAATGTTATGAATGGAGAATAAATCAGCTGTAAGCATGCAAAGAAATAGATGAAATGTTATGAGAAGACATTGATAGTAAATATAACTGTAGAATAATTCCATTTTGGTGTATTTCCTGAGAACTGCTGATTTAAAATAGTTAAATTTAGATGTGGGAAGACTCAGTTGGTAAAATGTCTACTGCAAAAGAATTAGCATGGGGTTTAGATCCCAGGACCCATAATGAAAGCTTGGTGTAATAGCACACGTCTTTAACCCCAGCATGGAAGGGCCTGAGCAAGGGGGATCAATACCTTCTGCTTCTGGTCTGTGGATTCAATGTGAACAGCCACCCCAATATCCTGCCATTGTGACTTGCCTGCTGTAATGAGCTTCAATCTGTAACTGTGAGTCAAAAGGCACCTTTTCTCCTTTAACATGCTTCTTGTCACCCCCTGCGTTATAGCAATGAGGCAGGTGACTAATATTTTTTATGATTTATTAAAACCACTGAAAATCAAAATAGCAAAGCAGCCACACTAGTTAGCCATTGAAGCCAGGCACATAAATTTAAATCCAGGACTCAGGATTAAGATTTTTGAACATCTCAGAATATAAGATGCTCCTGGGCCACCGGAGAGTGAATCAGAGCTCATGCCTATAATCCCAGGATTTGAGAAGTATAAAAGGTACAGGCATTCAGTCTGAGAGTTAGTCAAAAAAACAATTCTGAGGAAAGCATAGCAGTCTGAGTGAAACTGAGAAGTAGTAAAGTTGGCAGTAGTCTGAGGATTGCCCCTTTAGTCTGAGCTGAGGTAGAGGTAAGAGCTAGTGGCCAGCTGCTTTGCTTGTATGATCTTCAGGTTGAAGCCTGAACCCCAATATCTGTATCTTTTATTTTTGTGCCTAATGTTATGGTGGATATCTTTGTTTACCTGTTTTTTGTGAAAACTGTAATATGATTTAAAATACAGTCTAAGATGGATACTAAAATTGAGTGGTATTTTTTAGCTAAATGATTTTAGATTAGCAAAACATTTTGTTTAATCTGAACTCATCATACCATCTCTTTGATATCATAAGTGTAGACAAGCATGCCTTTGGGGTAAATAAAAGAAGAATTGAAACATTGATGATAGCTTTAGGAAGAATTGTGAAATAGATGATCTTTTAAAGACTTTGAGGGAATAAAGCTTTACATCTTTACACAATAACTAATTTCTATTTCACTTAGTATAAGGTAAACTTTAAAAACAAATGCTACAATTTAATAACTTGACATTTACCTATTTTAGTATATATGTTTGTAGTGTGTGAGAAAGAGAGTGTGTGTGTATGTGTGAGTGCATGTGTGTTTACACAAATGTGTCTAGGTGTACTTGCCTCTATCTGTACATGTGGAGGTCAGATGTCAACTCCAGGTTTATTTCTCTCATGTTCTTTACTTATTTATTTATTGAGACAGGTTCTCAAATTTAACCTTGTTCTCTTACATTAGTTACAATGGATTTTCACCAAGTTCTAAGGATTCCCCTGTCTCTGGACCTACTCACTCATGTGTTCACTTTCAAAACTCTTGTTACTTTGGCTTCCCTATAAAGAGGGTTTATGCCTTATGTTGGTTCCTGTACTGACTGGCTAGTTTCATATCCACTTGACACAGGCTAAAGTCACCTGAGAGGAGGAACCTCACTTGAGAAAATACCTCCATAAAATCAGGCTGTAGACAAACCTGTAGGGTATTTTCTTAGTTAGTGATTGATGGGAGTGGGCCCAGCCTATTGTGGGTGGTGCTATTCCTGGACTGGTGGTTCCTGGGTTCTATAAGAAAACAGACTGAGCAAGCAATGGGAAGCAACCAACTAAGCAGCAAACTTCCATGGCTTCTGTATCACTTTCTGTCTTCAGGTTCCTTTCCTGCTTGAGCATCTGTCCTAAATTCATTTGAGGATGAACTGTAATGTGGAAGTAATAGTTGAATAAATCCCTTCCTTCAAATTTTTTCCCAAGTTTCTTTTGTTTCATCAGAGTAAAGCAATCCTAAGGCAGTTATTATTATATTTTTGACTAATGGAAGAATTTTTACTTTATGCTTCTTATCTTAATGCAAAAATACAGGATGTAGCATTTCTGCAAATAGTTCATCACAGTTTTCAAAAAACCTGAGAAGCGACCCATGACTCAAATAAATATCATAGACAGGATGCAATCTAACCTGACATAGGCTAAAACACACTCATTCCAAACCTGAGTATTGTATTATTCATCATGAAGAAAATGCAATACTTCTATTTCATAGCTTATCAGCAGTAGACTCATTTTATCTGGGTTTTAATCATATTGACAACAAGGCGACACACAGTAAAAGTAGAGGAATCCCTTCTTAATTCTAAATTCAAAGTGTAGCACAAACAATTTTCTAAGACTTATTTATAAGAAATACTGAGATAACGATCCAGTTGCAAAATGTGGTGTCTATAGTACTATTTTAAGTGTTTTTCGTAACAAATAGCTCTTGTGTTCATTCACATTATTTACATAATGCCAGAATATTCAGTGAGCTTTTTAATTAAATTGACTGTAAATGATATATAATAGTCAAACTGTTGACGAACAATAATTACATGATCATTATTGCTTCTCCAGAGATTTTAACAATAGATGCTGAAATGTCCCAGGAACTCACTTTGCAACAACACACACAATCAGAAGTAACTCAGATTAAAAGAGATCATCACAATTACAGCCAGTAAGGAGAAAGTAGATGTTTAGATAATATATGTAAAAACTGTAATGGTCTTATTTTTTTTTCTGTGCCAATTGTGACTTATAATTATCATCTGTTAGAAAACTACAACAAAGATAGTCTAGTATCTTTGAAGTTATGTATAAAACAATGACATTTAGTGACTTTTATCAGTAATAGCCTCATGTTTATTTGCCATATTTCTGACACAAAGATCTCATCTCTTCACAGAATAAACATTCACACACATCCCGCACATACAAAGTGGCAGTGTCAATAGGCAATTATTCTAGCTCTGTAATATAAATACTATATGCAACAAAAGATTACTTACTTTCCAGTTTGAAGAAAAATTTCCACATGACAGAATTGCATTACTTTTCTTAAAAATCTGTCAATGTATTCAATGACTTAAGTATACTGGCATTTTATGAAGTCGACTTTGTAAGTTACTTTCTCAGAATATTAAAATTTTATAAGTATATTGTTTTTAACTACACTAGCATATTTTTCAACCATTACTTTAGTTAGGCAATTCAGTGTTTAACATATTTATAGTGTCCTGCACGTTATCTGTAGTAACAGATTTTTCAACAACCTCATGCTTTCCTCTTGTCTTGTCCTGTTCTGCTCTTATCTCTTTGTCTTAGAAACATATCTCCAGCTTCCACTCCATATCCTTCATCTACAAATTCTTCACCTTTCTTTCACTACTCCTATAATTCTTCATATTTGAACATTTACACTATGTCGTTATGGCCATTTCTTTCTTTTGTTCTGCATAGATTTTTCCCCAGCACCAATGTTTTGCTGAACATTTTTGTCAGTTGCCAGAGATAAAGCTGGACAGAAGAGAAGCAGTCACCACAAATCTACAGGGACAGATACTCCCCTGATGGGGACATGCATATCCTCAATCCTGTAGATTGACTGGGTGACAGTTGTAACTTTCTGGAACACAAGAATTTGTCATAATGCTAATGGAGGGGGTAATGCAGTCAGAAGAGCCCATTAAGCTGAGGCACAGAGTTTGAGTAATACTGTGGACAATTTCAGGGAGAGGGGACTCAGGCTGGTTACTGGCCAGAATATAAGGAGCAGAGAGAAGGAAGTTATGAGCAAGGGACATGATGTCTAGGCTTCCTATTCTGGACAAGGGCCTGCAAAGGCTTGCAAGCCATATACAATAGCCTAAGTAGATCACATGCTGACTCTAATGTCTTTGTCATTCCTGCCTTGGAGAAGGCTTCTAGCCATGGTCTCCTGGACATCTTCTCCCTGAATTTGGCTTCTCAGGACTTGGAGCTGGAGACTCAGAGGAAAGTATCCGTGCAATTCTGCGTGTGGTTCTAGGAGTAAGAGGAAGTCATCTTGTTCATGGCATCTTGCAACAGTTGCACATCCTTCAAAACAAAATGTTTCTGCATTCATCAAGCATGAACTGGTAGACATCCAACAAGTACAGGCCCCTAGAGCCCAGCTTCGTCTTGGATTATTCCTCCTTAATGACCTTCAGAAATAGTGGCTCCATGTAGCCTGGCCCTGCACACTCTTTTTGAAAGCCTCCAGTTCATATTTTAACCCCCCCCCCCAACTACTGGCTGACAGTGGTCTTGATCTTACAGATTTTTTTCTGCTGAATTTAGTGACACATAGCTTAAATCCCAGCACTTGGGAGGGAGAGTCATGTTGATCTCCATGTGTTCACAACAAGCCTGGTGCACAAAATAAGTTACATGACAGTTTGGGCTGTTACAGAAGGAAACTTTTTATCCAAAAGCAAAAACAAAAGAAAATAGCAAAAACAAAAAGACAATTTCTCTAATTTCTCATTAAAATTTATTCTATCTGAAAAGTAGTAGCTAATATTCTCAGGATATAATTGATGTTAAAAATAAATTGAGAGAAACTTCTCATTGACAATACTTTAATGACTATATTGACAAAAACAAATACACACACACACACACACACACACACACACACACACGCACACGCACACGCACACGCACACACACACATGCACACACACACACATCACCAGTTCAGACAGTGCTGGCCATTGACTAAATGCTTTGATTCAGATCTAAAATAAAACGGCTCTTTTACTCATTAGTGTTTCACCATGGAAATGCACTGAATTTCTCAGAAGGTATTTATATTAGTCACTTGAGGGTACTATAACAGCAAACAATACACGGCATAGTGAAAAGATTCTTCCCTCATACACTTCATCCAGACCACAGATCTTCCTTCCTTTACTCCTTGATCTCCACCCCTCCCCATTCCCTGTCCCCCAGATCCACTCCCCATAGTTTCCTCTGCAGCAAATAGCAGGTCTCAGAGAGATGGCAGCCAAACAGGGCAAAACAAGATATAAAGAGGCAAGTCAAAAGCCCTAGTATTCATGTTGGACAAGGCAACTCAAAAGAAGGAAAAGAATTTGAACAGCAGGCAAAAGAGTCAGCTATGTAACCACTCCCACTGTTAGGAGTCCCACAAAAACACCAAGCTTACAGTCACAACATACTTTTTTAATTAGCATGGAAAATATTGCTTTATTTTACATGTTTGTGCATTTTTAAAAGTTTTCTCCCTTTGTTCCACATTTCCCCAGCACTTTCTATGGTATCTGTGCTCTCTCAGTGGCCACTTTTCACTTTCATGCCACATTTTCTATTACATCTTCTTAAAAAAAAAAAAACTCCATTTAGTCACTTATAATTCCATTTCTAATTTCATGACCTTCTCTCTTACAGATGGCCATGTATGTATAAATATACAATTTTAAAACAAACAAATTTATATAAGACAAAATATCTTCCTGGGTCTTCTTTATCTCACATTTACAATAATGTCAGGAACCTTACAATTTCCTTCAAATGTCATAATATTATTATTTTTCATGGAGGAATAAAATTCCACTGCCTATATCTATCAGATTTTTCACTACCACTATAAATATTTACTTGAGAGTTCAATGTTCAACACCTCATCTAAACTCAATTATCTAGTTACCCCTTAAATATTTAGATTTAGGGCTTTAACAAGCGAATTTAGTGTGGACAAAAATCCACAGCAAGTATTTAGAAAAAATTCATCATTGTGTGTAGTACAGACTAAGCATGCAGAGAATACTTGTAGAAGAATCAAGTAATGAATTAAGAGATTAGTAATTAATATTCCAAATGGAAAAATTCAAGATTTGCTCTCTAATTAATACACTCATATAAAATTAGGTGCTTCAACCTTGATGAAATTAACAAATTATGCTTATTTCAAACCTGAAGCTCATAGTATTTAACAAAAAAATTAAAATTAAAGAAAAATTACATGATATTCTCCTAGGCCCTGCTCCAAATGATATGACAGACATTGAAGATCCCCCTGTAGAAGGCTTCACCCTCCCTGGGGAGCAGAAAGGGGATGGGATAGGGAGTCAGTGGGGGGCAGGGGAGTAGGGGATGGAGAGGGAACTGAGACTGACATGTAAAACAAGCTTATTTCTAATTTAAATAAAAATAGAAAAAATGAAAAAGAACGTGCAATTATTTACTAATGTATGTGGCTTTTTATATAAGTAATTCTAAATGTTTTATAAATGCTAATACAAAATTACATCTTCTTGTTTTGTTTTTTGTTTTGTTTTGGTTTTTTTTTGTTTTTTTTTCAAGACAGGGCTTCCCTGTGACTTTGGAGGCTGTCCTGGAACTAGCTCTTGTAGACCAGGCTGGTCTCGAACTCACAGAGATCCGCCTGCCCCTGCCTCCCGAGTGCTAGTATTAAAGGCATGCACCACCACCGCCCGGCTAAAATTACATCTTCTTACAAAAAAAAAAAAAAAAAGATCTCAAACTATTAAGGGTCATGAGTTTTAACTTGATGAAGGAGATAAGAAGAAAGAGCTCCAGGTGGTCTCACAAATTGTGTGGTGACTAAAGGCACCATTGCCTCTCAAGAATAGGCTCTGCCATCAGGCTTCCTTCTCTCTTCCATTCTCCACCATCACCTTCTCTCTTATGATAGAACAGTCTAACCCTCTGTGCTCATCTGGCCATTGTTCTTCATATAAACACCTCACATAGCCACCACTATTTCCTTATGTGTGAATTCTCTTTCAAAATTAACAAATAGATAGATAGAAAAAAAGAAAGATAGATAGAAAGGTAGATAGAAAGAAAGAAAGAAAGAAAGATAGATAGATAGATAGATAGATAGATAGATAGATAGATAGATAGATAGATGCATATGCCCTTAAATGAAGGACAGAATTTGAAATGCTAGCTGGTAAGATCAAAGAAACAGTCTTATGCATTGGTATCTTCTTTCCTCACTCCCAGTCCCACAACCATAGCTGTCAAATTCTTTACCTTTGTTTCCATTATTACAATAATAGAAGTCCATGCTGTTTTTTAGTAATAGTTTTCTGTCCTGATAAATGCTTCATGGGAGTATTATTGGTGAAAGTGAATACCTTTTATTAAAGAGTTTGACATGTTGGCTCTTCTTTTACCATGCTGTTTCCTTCACACTTATATTTGACTTCATCCATAGTCTTTTCTGATAATTTTTCTCACATATATTTTCACTGTTCTTTCTTGTTTTAGTTATTTTTGAGGTTGTAATAAAATTACATCATTTTCCCCTTCCTCCCTCCAAAGCCCTCACAGATGATTCCGCTTTCTCTCTCTCAATTTAATGGCCTCCTCTCTTTGCTTTAATTGTTGTTACACACATGCGTGCATACACACAAACACACACACACACACACACACACACACACACACATACACACACTCTTAAATATATAAGTATAATCTGGTCAGTTTATATATTATTACTTGTATACTGTTTTCAGATTAAACCATTTGATTTTGAGTATCCAGTTCTTGTGCTCTTCCCCTGGGAAGGCTACTTCTACAACTTTTTGTATTCATTAATTGCCTGTAGCTCTTGGTGAAGGGTTGAGATCTAATGAGCTTTCCATCATCCATATCAGCATGTCTATTTCTGTCACCCTTGCTTAGATAGCCATGTTGATGAGACTTCATGAGTGTAGCTTGTGACATTTCTAGGAGACACGATTTTGTAGCAAACCTCCGGTTCCTCTGAATCTTACATTATTACTGCTCTTATTCTGCACTGATACCTGGTCATTATGCACAGGAATGCATTGCAGATATATTGATTGGAAAGAAGTTTCACAACTCTGCATCTTGATTGGTTTTGGTTTTCTGCAATGATCTCTATGTATTGCAAAGAAGAGTTTCCTTGATGAAGATGGAAGAGTGCACTTATTTTGGGGGACTAGTATAAAACTTGAGAATAGTATGGGATAAAATTGACTTAGTAACTTGACAGTTGTGGAATCGCCTTCAAGATTCCTGACTTCAGTAGACCTGCATAGTTTCTAGGTTTTTAGTCCAAGGCATGAGTTCCCTCTTGAGCCTCATTCCTTAAGAGTTCTACACCAGTTTAGTTTTTTGTTTGTTTGTTTCAGCTTAAGACCAACATCCACACTTTCTAATTAGCAACTTTAAATCCTGCTTCTCCCTAAGTGATAATTAGCTGCACATCTACTCTGTGGCACAGCCTCTCTCTAGTATTTCTATTTCATCATTTACCAACTGCACACCTGGTATTTGGTGTTTTATATGATATTTAAAAAGGACAATTACACAGGCAATCTTTATATTTTAATAATTTATCTTACATAGAGGAAACAAATTTAAGCAAAACTGACTTTAAATTAATTGTAAAAGTCTATAATCAAATAAAAAACATCATATAGTCAACAATCTTGCAAGAGATTGAAGCATTTCACTACAAGGCAAAGGTGTTATATGGAAAAATTAAGGTATAGTTCAGAAAAAAAAACAGCATATTTGAGAAGTGTCATGAAAAACATTAGGGGGCTAGGGTTATGGCACAATAATTTGGAGCTCTTTCCACTCTAGCAGATGTCCAGAGTTTATTTCCTAGCACCTGCAAGATGGGAGAAAACGACTGGTAACTCTGGCAATTCACAAGCTCTTCTGACCTCCTAAGTTACTATATTTATTTGGTGCCCGTACACGTATGAGCAAACACACACACACACACACACACACACACACACACACACACACACACACACACACGACTTTAGAGCTCTACAAACAATAGCAATTATAAAACTTCATGGCATACCAGCAACCAGCAAGAGCTTTCCATATACAGGAAGAAAAACAGGCAGATGTAAGGGATAAATAAACAAGAAGTATCAGAAATTTCATTAGCATTCCATTTATCATCAGGTTATTTTCCAGAAGAGCAAGAAGAAAATAAAAGATATTATCAAGAATATACATTAGTGTTTATTGTCAGATTTATAGAGAATGTTGCAATAAAAATAATACTATGGCCATTAAAATAACTGATTATTTGCAACTCTTCCAAAACTTAAAATGCCAGCAAATACTCCCTAATTCATGCTGTCTATATTATTTTCCTCTCATCAAAACCACAGATATTAGAAAAAAAACTACATATCTCCTAGTTAATATGTAGAAGCACACTAAGTAAAATATGAGTTAACTATATGTAATGGTAAATACAAATATTTTTAAATGACCAACATTTTCCTGTAATGTAAGATTTGTTGTATAGAAGTAAACAAAGATTGTAGTGTGGCATATCCTTTGAAAAAGTAAAATAACACAACTACCTTCACAAATAAAGAAAATGCAACTGACAAATTTCAACATACTTTACAATAAAAAATTCAACAATCTTATAATATAAGGGAGATTCAACTGGATATAAACTACACATGAAATTCTACAGCCAGTGTCAAACTAGCAGAGAAAGACTGAATATTTCTTATTCTTAACTTTCAGGAACAAAACATGATTTTATCACATTTCTATTCAACATTGTACTGTAGCCCAGACAGTGCAGATACATAAAAAAAAATAAATAAATAAAGGACATCAAAATCAGAAACTTACAGCCGAAATTATTAAAAAAGTTTTTCTATTTTCAGGCAGTAAGGTGGGCACTGAACATCCCCAAAGATCTCCTAGGGCCTATTGGCAATGTTAAAGAGCATGCCCAGGTTATAGAACACAAAACTAAAATAGAAAAATATGTTCCTGGACCTAGAGAGATGGCTCAGTAGTTGAGAGCATATCCTGCCAGGACAAAGCCTTCTCTCCTCAACTTGCTTCCTGTCAGGAATACAATTACAGCAGCAAAAATGTAACTAATATATCCTTTGATTGTAGTTTGAATGACAAATTCTCCAATAGTATCATGTATTGAATAGGTGATCCCCCATTGATGGCAGTGTTTAAGGCTATTGTGGAACCTTGAAGTGATAGATACTTTCAAGTGGAAGTTCATTACTAGGGGTGAGTTTTGAGAGTCTCTGGCCTTGTCCCACTTTCTGCTTGCTTGCTCATTCTGCTGCTGTCTTGTAGTTGAAATTTTATCAGAGCTTCCTGCTCTGGCTGCATGATTACTTGCTTGCTTCTCTTGCCATTAAGCTCTCTCATTAAGCTCTCTCTCTCTCTCTCTCTCTCTCTCTCTCTCTCTCTCTCTCTCTCTCCTTCAACAGGAATTCTCTAAATAAATGACATGGAATTATTTTAAATACATGGACCATTTTTGTAATATGTGAAAATATTTGTAATTTGTAATAGGACAAGTTTGACACTGTTTTGACTATATTTTTAATTTTTCACTGTGTAAAATAAATGATACTGTTACTAATAAGAGAATTTACATATAATTCTATATTGTACACTGAGGAATTTCCCCCCATATTCACTTTCTTCTCTTCTGCTAGTAACTTTTGTTTCCCTAGAAAGTTAATTTTATGTTCTACATACCACTTGAATTTACATAACTATACATGGTAATCTCAGAACCTCATAAGGCTGAACAGATGCCATTTGTATTTCTATGACTAGCTTATTTTCTTCATGTTATACTTCCAGTCAGTTGTATCAATGTTATTGCAAATGATATGAATTTATTCTTTTTTAGGTTTAAAGAAAAACATGCGTGCGCACGCACACACACACACACACACACACACACACACACACACACACACACACACACACGTGTCGGGTGGAGGAAAAGAGTCCTAAGAGCAGGCAAAATAGCCAGAGTCATGCCTGGTCCCACAGTTAGGAATCCTACAAAAAATACCTAGCCAGCAGCTGTAATATATCAACAGAGCTCTGGTGCAGATCCATGCAGGCCCTGTGCATGCCCTAGAGTCTTCGTGAGTCCACATGAGTCCTGCTGTGTCCTTTCAGTGGACCATGTCCTCCTGATGTCACAATCCCCTCTGTCTTATAAAATAGTTCCTCCCCCTCTTTTCTAGGATACCCATAGCTCTGAGGGGAGGAAAACAATGGAGAACTATAATTTAAATTCTCTTTCTACATAATGTCTGTCTGTGGGTCTCTGCACTGGCTCCCATCTGCAGCTGTAGGAAGCCTTCCTGATGATGTTTGGACATGGCAGCAATCTATGAATACAGAGGAATCCCATTAGGAGTCATTTGATTGATATTTTTCCATTTGTGTTTGGTTTTACCTTAGGTCTCTGATTCTACCACAGGCTGTTCAGTCTATGGTTCCTGATCATCCAGGCAGTGTAGGATATGGGATCCTTCTCCTGGTATAGACCTCAAGTTAAATCATGTGCAGTGGAAACTTCCAATATGAAGGTGACCTTTGTGAAGACTCCTACGAGTGAAGGATATGAAGTATTAACTGGCCATCCTTTGTAGCCAGGAAGTCTTCCAGTGGTGTGACTGGGTTACATTCAGTGGAGGTTGTGGCTGTGGGGGAGTGTAACAATAAGTATTTCTGCATCAGTCACCCGAGCCCTGCTGACACATGGGCTCTTTCTGCCAGGCCGCCCAAGTTCTGCCCACCACCACAGAGGCTTATATTAGGTACAAATGGTGCTTGTCCAATGACTAGGATTTCTCATCTGCTAGATGAGTCTTAATTATCATAAATCTACATATGTAATAACACATCTTATTGAGGATGCCTTCTGCTGGTGCCCTCCCTTGCTGGCGGATCACACAGTGACTCCAGAGCAGAAACCAGGAGGAAGAGCAAGAGAAAAGGGAATGACTTCCTTCTTGCCCTTGCTTATATATGAGTCTGCCTGCTTTATCACTTGCTGCCTAGAATGCAAGACTTCTTTACTACATTCCCCAGAATCCTCCTTGACTACTAGTTCCACATATCTTGCTTTCCTATTGGCCAACAGTAATTTATTTATCAACCAATAAGACAAACATATACACAGAAGGATGTCCCCCCTTCAGTGGAGTCCCATGAAGATCTATAAACAAGAAAATCTGATTCTAGGACACAGAGTTGCTCTCTGAGAACTCATTTGGGAGGCATTGCTGAAGACAATATCCACACAGTTCACTAAACACTGAGAGATCAGGTTATGATGGCATTGGAGCCTCCACCCTTATATTGTAGCCTCTTTGACATGGGAAGATACTCTTCAGGCTACAGAAAGAGAAAATTGGAGAAATACCAAGCCTCATAATCCTCAACATATAATCTTTTCTTCCTACAAGATGTGCTGGGGCAATGGTGGCACATAACTTCTGGGAATGTCCAACTGATGTGCCAAAATTTAAATTATCTTGTAATACACTTTTAAAATTTCTGTTATATTTAAATCTTTATAATTCCTGTAGTAATGCCTTTACTAAGAATGTTGTAAAACACAGATTTTCAGAGCTATAGACAGATCCAGGTATTAAGCCAATTTAACAGTATATAATCAGACATTAAATAATGTCTAATTCCAGCTCTCAAATCAGGGGGCCAGGATTTTAATATCAGCATTATCTAGAAAATTAATAGAAATACCAACTCCTGAGATATGTCACTGTTAATAAATCCCACTGAGTGTGCTTGAAAAACTTTTAATACAGCTGACCCTAATGCTCGATAAAATGTAAAACCTTCTGACTAAGGAATATAGTATAATTTCAATATATTATGAAAAATTAGTCACATATTTAATAGTTTTCTGTTATCAGAGGCTATGATGTGGGGAAACAGAAAGAAAATAAATAGCAAATGGAAGATTTGCAACTATTTTATACTTATTGTAAATCACACTGACTATATTTGACCATTTTATTTTTTGTATATCATTGTCACTAAAATAACAACTTCTAAGTTTATCATAACAAAATGTCAAATGCTTGAGGTGTTGTGAAATTTAGTTACTTTAATTTAATCATTTTATATTGTATTGAAAAACTTAAAGGTTGAGTCAGGTGTAGATTATTAGAAAGGATATGTGATAGGTAGGGTTTTAGTTGGGAGTTGTAGGGGAGGAAGGGAGGGAAAATCGAACTGGGATTGTCATGTAATTCAATCTTGCTTGTAATTCAAATAAAAAATAATAAAAAAAGAAAATCTTAGGACTAAATAATACAACTAAAGTTGATTTAATATGTAATAACAGAAGAAATTGTAACATCTGAAGTTGTTACAATTGAAATGATTAGCTATTTATATAAAGTCAAAAGAATGACTATAGTTTCAGAGATAGAAATGTGTTTGCCATTAGAGATTGCTATAGGAGTTCAAAAATATCTAACGGGAATTTTAAAAGCTGGTAAAACATCCTTTGTATTCCTCCAGGTGAGCCCTAATAACCTTAAGCCTGTGGAGGTTCTGTGACTAACTGCACACCCAGAACTTCCAAGAGAGAAGTCAGCTCTGAAAGTCCCTGACTATGCTGCAACAGACATGCAGGGAAGATGTTACATTTCACAATCTCAAGTGACTGTCACATTTTGTTTTCACAAGAGAAAGAAATGGATGTGTATGTGATCACATGAACCATATACACAAAAAGAATGATTTTACTATGTTCTCAGTCTATGTCATGTGAAGAAAAAGCGCCATTGAACAGGTACAGGACAAAATGCATGGCATACATTATGTTGTAAATTATGTTGGCTTTAAAAAAACAAAACATAAAACAAACAAACATCATTTAAATTTGTAGTCAGTTGTTGAACATCACTAGAATGTATGCATATCTGGGGTCAGTCTCTGTACATTTTTTATTTCATGAACTTTATTTTTTAAAAAAATCTTGCAAATAAAGTAAGCACAATACATAAAAAGTAACCCATTTAATAAACTTCTAAACGGTTCTAACTGTACAGTAACTATAATGATAAAACAGCCTTGGTGAGAATAGTGAAAAAGTATCACCCAACCTTTGATTAACATTTCAATTAATTTTTTTTTTTTTGGTTTTCCAAGACAGGGTTTCTCTGTGTAGCTTTGGAGCCTATCCTGGCACTTGCTCTAGAGACCAGGCTGGCCTCAAACTCACAGAGATCCTCCTTCCTCTGCCTCCTGAGTGCTGGGATAAAGGTGTATGCCACCAATGCCCAGCTAACATTTCAATTTTTTAAGATCATACATTCTATTAAGATTAATCCTTATGTTTACTTCTTCATATATTTTTTATTAAAAATAGTTTTTTCACCCAATATTTTAATCACAATTTCACTTCCCACAAAGCCAGATCCTCCCAAACTCCCCAACCACTGAAATTCACATACTTTCTTTCTCTCTGTCATTAAAAACCAAACAGTGAACTAAAAACCAGATATAATAGGACAAAACAAATTAATAGAAAAAAGAGGCAAAGAAAATGTACAAGAAATGCATACATACAAATACACAGAAAGAGAGAGAGAAGGTAAGAGAAAGAGAAGAAATAAGTAAAAACACAAAATCAGAAAACAGTATATAAGCAAAAAAAAAAAAAAAACCCATAGGAGTAAAAACAATATGCCCTGAAAAAGCATTATAAAACAAAATCCTCAAAATACCACTGAACTCTTTTTGTTGGCCATGGACCTGCATTTAAGTGTGATTTGTACACCCAGAGAGCTTGATTCAGTTGGATGAAATGAATTTCCCTTTGTAAATATTTGTCGGTTGACTTGTGTACACATCCAGTCTCAGCACTAGGAACCAATCTAGCTTCCACCTGTGCAGGGCCTGTTCATGCTGCTGCAGTCTCTATGAGTTCATGTGAGTGCCAGTCCCACTGTGCTCACAGCATCAGGTTTCCTTGGTGTCCTCAGTCATCACTGTCCCTTACATTCTTTATGCCTCTTTTTACACAAAGTTACCCAAGGCTCTGAATGTTAAATGGATTTAAGTTCCCATTGCTGTCAGAATAATTAAGAATCAAGTGTTGTAAATGTTTTAGATGAGATTAGTCCAATATTATGTCTGAAGCCCTGAAAATATTGCTAGTTTATATTACTACTATTATTGTTGTTGTTATTTCTTGTAGCAAGGCAAATGTAGTATTAGCTAATTCCAGAATAAAGAAGCAGATATTTTGCCTGTTCATGAGTAAAAACAATAAAGTTTCTAGGTTATCATGCAATTTTTTTTGTTATTATTGTCTGTCATTTTAATGTTTGGTCTCCTAGTCTGGGAAGGTACTCTGCAGACTACAGAAACAGACCTTAACAGCAACCCAGCCACAAAACCCTCAATCTAAAATCTGTCCTCCCAGGAAAATATGCTGAGGCAATGGTGTCACTAAACTTGTGAAAGTGTCCAGTTTAACTTAAGGTCCATATCACAAAAGGAGCCCATCCCTTACACTCCCTGGATGGCAATGAACCAGAGACTAGATAGCCTACAGACCTAGGGTAGAAGCAAATATAACTGGCAAAAATAATCAAAGAAAGGAAGGAGGAAGAAAGAAAGAAAGAAAGAAAGAAAGAAAGAAAGAAAGAAAGAAAGAAAGAAAGGAAAAGAAAGAAAGATGATATACTTCTATACTCTTAGATCAGTGCCTTGTCCATTCACCATCAGAGAGGCTTCCCCAACAACAGATATGAGCTGTAGCAGAGACCCACAGGAAGACATTATGAAGAGTCTAAATTGGTGGCCTCAATGAGGGGTCTCTTCTCAGTGTTTGGAAATCCCTGTGGCAGAGAGAAGAAAGAATGTAGGAGTTAGAGGGTGTAGGGGACACCAGAAAAACAAGACCAACTGAATAACATAGCAGGGCTCACCTGGGCTCACAGAGACTAAAATACAAGTATGGAACCTGCATGTGTCTGCACCAGGTCATCTGCATACATGGTACAAGGTTAGTCTGATGTTTTTTGTAGATTGCAACATTGGAAGCATGTGTGACTCTGACTGATGCCTGCTTTGGGACTAGTTTTGTCCTGTTGGGTTGCCTTGCCCAAACTTGATATGATGACTTTATCCTGTCTTCCTGTATCTTGTTTTGTAATATTTGGCTGTCCTCCCTTGGAGGCATGTTTTTTTTTTCTGAAGAGGAAGTGAAGGGGTAGTAGACATGGGGAGAGGTGGGGTAGGTGGGAGGAAGCTGGGGAGAGTAGAAACTGTAGTTGGTATGCATTGTTTGAGAAAAGAATTGATTTTCAATGTTTTTTAAAGAAGAAAAATAACAAAGCAAAAAACAGACAGCAAACAAAAAGAAAAAGAAAGAAATATGTTCTAAGAAGAGAAATGTGATTGGATAACTGGCCAAAATACCCTGAGCTGCTATTAGAATTCAGTGTGATTCTTTATTATCCACACTAAACTATGGTTGCTTAATATAAACTTTGGCATTGTGCTGTATTTTTCTTATCCTATTATCTGCCCAATGAACATTCATGTAAAATGTAAGTTGTTTTTAGAAAAAAAAAACTGCACCCACTTATAAAAACACAAATGACATTTTCCAGGTAAACTCATCAGTTTGAGACTCAAGTAAGCAGCAGGTATTACTCTACCATTTACAGAGAACAGTAACTCTGCAGGGGGCAGAAGCCTACTAGTTTCATGGATACCCATTGGTTTCTTATAATACATGGGACTCTGGAGAGACAGGTTTACTTATCTAACCTTGAATTCTTGAGTCATGTGTGTGTGTGTGTGTGTGTGTGTGTGTGTGTGTGTGTGATGCTTCCTATGATTTAATCTGTTCTAAAATATAGACACATACACCGATCAAAAAGGTCTTCCAAGTAGTAAATTACTGCTTATCATTTTATGTAATAAATTATTAGCAATTTAGTTTCACAGATTTTAAACTGGACTCTGGCTGCACTAGTGGCAACAGGATTCCTAGTAACCATCCCCAGTGAAGGGCAGGTTGGCAGCTTTAAGTGACACAGTGCCAGTGGTGGCGGGCTGCCAGGATAATGAATGCATTCCCCAAGCCTCTTCTTAATCCCTTGGTAATATTTTCCATTTTGTAAAATCAATTATTGATAGAGTGATAGTTCATCTAAACAAAATGAATAAATAGAAAATGCATTTTCTTCGTGGTATTAGCACTGTTCATTCCAACAGCACAAGTGGACATTATAAAACCCCAATTCAAATCAAGATAAGTACTTATACATTATTCAAATGTTTAATCTAAGATCCTGAGAGCAGCACCTACAATAACTGAATTCGAGTTTGCATTTGACAGAGCTTCCTTTCCATACTACCAGGGAAAGGATAGTTAGTCCTAGACGATAACTTAAACTAACAACATACTAATTCTGATGCCCAATCATTTTCCTTTACCATCCCTCATAACTGTTTGTTATTCAAATCAGTCATCTGAAAATGTTCTGATATACTTTCAGGTGTCCCTGTCTGTATTAAGAGTCAGGCCAAAGTAGTTGTTGCCATTTATTTTAATGATTACTGAGATGAAGCCAACATCCTAATTTGTAATGCAGAACTCCAGTGCCCTTAGGCAACAGATACAATTGATTTCTTGCACCTTTCTCACTCTGGACTTGAATAAAAAGTATATTTTTTATTGCTTTATTATTTATTATTTATTTATTGACTCCTGTTTTGTGCAACGCTCAGATCACATGTTTGACGGGCATTTACTTCTCCTCAGATACTTCTCCAAAGACTCACTGCATGTTGAATAAACTCTAAAGTCATTTTTATGGACACCATCCTGAAGTATGACTCTAGAAACCTAATGTACAAATTTGGTGTGTAAAGGTTGGGGAAGAGTTACTATGATTAAAGAGCGAGGTCTCCGAATTGTTAATAAGCATTCTAATGGCTGAATAATATGATTTACTTTATTGATCCTTACAAAGTAGCTTCAGCATATAAAATACAAAGAGACACAGTATGACATATTTCACTCCTAAGAAAAATGCATGACACCGTAAATTAGTAATATCAAGTGACTGAACAGAAAAACATTTGTCTCACCAAAGGAACAAAACATGTGCTTCCTTAGATGTCGAATAATGTAAAATATTAAATAAAAATAATCTTGAAAATTAGGTAATTAGTGAACTATTTTTTCATACAAGTTTATTATCCCTGATATCATATACAAAAGCTTGCTGAATGGATTCAGCAGTTTACATTTATACATACATACATACATACATACATATACAAACACACATATTTAACAAAAACACTCAAAGAAAAAGAGGCTACCAGTGTGAGAAGAGGGCATGAGGCTGAAAAGATTTTATGGAAGGGGGGTAATGTATTTACTTCTTAATTTAAATAATCTAACTCAAAACTAAAAATGGAAACTGAAATAGCAGTGATTGCTCATTAAAAACTGAAACATAAATCTATATAATTCAGTAAAACAAACAATGTTATGATAAATCTTTCCTCCAAAGCCACCCAGCCCCACTGCCACATGTGTGCTTTACGCCAGCTGCCCAGCCAAGTTAGGCCCAAATTAATGCACAGAGAGACTTGTATTAGGTTCAAATGCAGCTTGGAAAATGAATAGGATTCTCATCTGTTAACTCAGTCTTAATTATCATAAACCTATATATTTTATAAGACTTATCTTATTAGACGCCTTATTGGTGTCCCACCTTGCCAGTGGCTCACATCCCACCACTGGAGGAAGCATGGAGGGGAAAAGTGAAATGCTTCCTGTTTCCATTGCTTAAATATGTGTTTCCTTTCTATGTCACTTCCTGCCTGGAACACCACTTCTCTACTACATTTCCCAGAATCCTCTTTGACTCCTAGTCCTGCCTAACTTGCTGCCATTGGCCAAACAGAACTTTATTTAACGATCAATAAGATAAACATACACAGTACATTTCCCATCAAGACATTTTATTAGTTTGTGGTTACAAATTATTGCTCATAATATCTTATATGTTTTTTATACTTGAAACCCATATTAAAGGAGTTAGCCTGTGAAATTGGCATTGCAGGTTATTAACCATAGTCACTGTTTAAGAACTCAAAATCCAAAAATATGAGTATAGAAGATTATCCCAATTGGTTTATCTAGAATAGTATTCTACCCAACTTGCCATTATGTGGCATTAATTATCTTTTTATTAGTTTTAAATAAATGTTTACATAGAAAACAATGTTAAGTTATTACAACAGTGATCTATTGCTTTAAAATCAATGTTTAGATATAGAATTTTTCCAAAGAATAAAAATTCCATTATATATAAACATAGTATCATCTATATATGTTTAGAAACAGGTTCATTTAATGGTTAGTTCAAGTGGAAACAACTAAAAATACTGACTTACAGAAACTAATTATAAATTTTATCCATTTTTTGAAATCCCTTTTAATGTCTATGGATAGCAAAGTTCCCATTGTGGAAGACAACATCTGCACAACTCATTGGACTTGTAGAAGTCTGGGTGGTGCCTACATAAAGCCTTTACACTTATGTTCTAGTATTTTTATTACAGGATTGAATTCTTCATGCTACCAAAATAGAAACATAAACACCAATCCAGTCAAAAATCCTTTGATCTACAATCGTGACCTGACTGTAAGATATCCTAGGGCAATGGTGGCCCAAAGCCTGTGGGAATAACTAAGCAATGCCTGATTTAACTTAAGACCTACTCCATTAGATGGAACCGATAATGTAATTGTTTTGGAGATCAAGAATCAGAGACTAGATAGCCCAGGGACCTAGGGTAAAGTCAAATATTATGTTTAAAAAAATCAGTGCTAAAATAACTCCTCATGACTGACATTCTGCTCTACACATAGATGAGTGCCTTGCTCAGTTATCATCAGAGAAGCTTCCTCCTGCAGCAGATGGGAACAAATACAGTGTAACATTATGCAGAGAATGAGATACCCTGGAGCACTCAGTCCCAAATGGGATGTCTCCCTCATATTCCTCCTGACAAAGCTCAGGGAACACTGCAGAAGAGGAGGCTAGAAAACTGTAAGAACCAGAGACAATAGAGGACATCAAGAAAAGAAAGCCTTCTAAATCAACATGAACAAATGTTGCATGAACTCACAAGGACTAAGACAACATATACATGGGTCTGCACCAGGTTCTCTATGCTTATATTAAGTCTTTAAGTTTAGCATTCTTATTGGATTCCTGAATGCATGAATGAGTGGGTCCCTGAGTTTTATTCCTTCTCTTGGGCTCTTTCCTTCTGTTGGTTTGTCTTTTCTGACTTCAATGTGATAGATTTGTTTTATCTTATTTTATATTATTTTGTTATATTGTATTTTTATCCCTTAAAAACCCAACTTTTCTAAAGATAAACAAAAAGTTAGTGGATCTGGATGGAAAGGACTGGGGGTGTAACTGGGAGGGATAGTAGGAGAGGAAGCTATAATCAGGATACATTAAGTGAGAACAGACTTTTTCAATCAAAGGGGGGAATAAATATTTGAAAATAAAATAATTGTAAAAATAAATGTGTAATTAAATGAAGAACTTTGATTTGAAAATAAATAATAGTAAAAGTACATAATTTTTGTGATTACACTACTATATTATCAACTACATATATTTTCTTGAAAGCATTCAGGCATATTTTATCTAAATGGTAGAATATTATAGATGGGTGAAGTACCATATTTTTCTATTCTGCTTTGTTCAGCAACATTACTGGATATTGCCTAGTAAAGGAATATTTCAACCAAAATATCAGTAACTATTATAAACTGAAGCTATTTATTTTCAATTGAACTAATAGCTAAATGTGTATATTCTTCATCAGACAGTTATAGTCATTTATGTTTTCTCAGTATCTACAATGCTAGAAACATGAATTCAGCTGACAATCAAGCAGATGGAAACAAAAATATAACTTTAATAACGATGAAGTTGGTTACAAAATCTTCTTTTAGATCTATAGTCTAATGTGTTTTCTAGTCTTTGCTGTATAATTACATAATTTACTACTGGTCTTACACCCAGCTGACATCTGCAAACTACCCTTGAGTGATAAGTCCTAAATATAGCCTCTCTGTGGGCAGAGATATCTAAAGATAGTGATCAAGATCAGAGGCTAAGTCTTACCCACTTTGATTTATCTATCAGAAACAAAATGAATTTGTTTAAGTTGGGTTACTTAGCAGAGTAAAACACAAGCTAACACAAGCTAAATAAGACAAAACCCACACCATAGCTGTGTTCCAGGAGATCTGCCTCTGTTTAACATGATGTCCATATGTTCTCAATAAGGCACTTTTTGCTCCAAGTTGACTGCAAAAACACATATCCACCTGCACTAAATCATCAGGAAAGACAGGAGAGAGAGAGAGAGAGAGAGAGAGAGAGAGAGAGAGAGAGAGCCTTTTTTTTTACTTGGAGGGAAATCCTATCTCCCAAAAGGAGACAGAGCAACAGTTCATTGAATTCAAAATGGATAAATATCAAGTTTTTGGTTTACAATGTTGATACTCAGGACTAATTTTATATTTCATTTCTAAAAGGGAGCAGGAGATTAAGTGATCATCCTCTGTCATGTTAGGAAAAGGTCCAAAGAATTGAATTAGAAAAAGGCTAGAAATGTCAGTCTAGAAGTCTGAAATATGATAAATCAATAGTCAACCAAATATATGACTGATTCTGATAAATCAAGACAGAAGAAATCTCACTTATATGTTATATCTGAGTACAGATTATGGTGTGCAACCATCCAAGGGACCCTAACACCGATAACAGTGAAAACTAAGTAATTCTGATCATTGTTTGTAACCAGTCCTTGGGTATAAAATTTTGGGAGAGAAATCAGATAATCATAAAATTTATTTCACATAACATAATAATGACTGAAGTGCAATGCTTGTGACTATGACAAGTTTGGGAAACAGAAATATCAAGACTAAGCTACCATAAACCCTAAGTGGGAAAAATCTCACTTGAATACACAACATGATGCATTTTCCAGGACTTCAGTTGTAAAATCATGACCTACACTTTAAGAACCAGGTATAACAAATGAATAAAAAGGTTCTAAATCGCAGATTGATTTGAGTTAAAACTGATTTCAGAACAAACCATCATTTTACTGCTTGTCTACATTTCAGAAAATTCTGAAACACTGATGTCTGAATAAATGAGATTTTCCTCTAAATTCCAGATTTTGCAAGGACATGGAAAGTTTCATCATCACTAATGTATTCTTTAATCTTCGATGAAATGCCTTAAATAAGTACTGTGTCATTATAAAGTAATTCCAACTGGAGGAGAGTATTGAATGTGCCTTAATATTCCTTGGTAATGTGACTGTGAGGTCCTTTTGCCAGCATCAATGCAGGGACACTTAACATTATGTCATTAACTTAGCATGTTTTAAACATTTCTGGTTTTATGGAACTATCAATAAATCAGCATGTTTGCAGATGAAGCTTCGGAAGAATAATCTCCATGTGAGGAATAGAATTTTTTAAGGTTGTCTAATATTATGCCCTTACTCTGAGATGTCTTTTGCATTGAACTTCAACATATGAATCACTTTTAATCAGAGAAAATAAGCATGATAATCAGATACAAAGCAGCAGAGGCTTGTAGTTGAATTTGTTCTAATGAGAACTTAACTTCTGCTTATGTCAGATAATTCAGCTCTTAAAGCTATAACTGACTATTAAGCCAAAGAAAAGTCTAAGCAAATCTATAATGAATTCCTTCAGGAAACTAGAAAAAAAACTTCCTTGTAACCTTTAAGTATTCTCATCATTAAAAAGGTCATCCTTTCTCTTGAGCTACAGGACTCTCATATCACATGCATTATCAATTCTCAGATTGTGTAGGGCCCTTCAATTAATACTTGGGATCATGTAAGAAATACTAACAAAAACTCACTTGCTCTAACTATGTTCATTTGTTGAGCCTGCAAGGTTAAATACGTCTAATTAAAGGTGGTGGTGAATTTCAAATGACTTTTGCACACATTCTTCTACTTCCAGACATTATTCAAAAGACCTGAATGCTAACACTGTCTTCAGGCTCATTTTTTAACAGCATAATACTTACAAAGTAAAAGAGAGTGAATCAGCTCCTAAAAGCAAAAACAAAACAAAACATGGAATGAGACAAGATACTTAATACCATGAGTAATGATTATGTGTTTCCTTGAGCAGAAAAGATAAAGCTCCAGCTGCCTTTATTTGCTGAGTGACACAGGTCACACATATAGGTTTGTCTTGTCCTGCCTTTGCCTTTGGCTTTGAAAATCATACTTCATATCAGTTGTGCTTAATGAAAAAACATTTAAGATGGCAAAGATCAATGAAATAACAAAGAAGAAATGCTGGAGGAGATGTGGGGAAAACTAATAAAAGCAATCTTATTAATAGTTTGTTGGTTTGCAAAATGGTGCAATCAGTAAAATCATTGGTGTAGAACTAAAAATAAATTCACCATATGACCCAGCTATACCACTCCTTGGCATATGCTTAAAGGACTGAACATGCTATTC